GTACTTACTTTTGTTTGCCTTAAATCTGCTGTCTATTAATTTAATTGGGTGCACCCTGGTTCGTGTGTTATGTGAAAGGGTAAATAACACTTCCCCATTCACTTTCTCCATACCATTCATGATTGTTTAGGCCCCTTAATTGTCTCTTTTTTTAAGCTGAACACTCCCAGTCTTTTAATCTTTCAACATATGGAAGTTGTTCCATACTTGTAATCATGTTTGTTGCCATTCTCTGTACCTTTTCCAATTCTAATATATTTGTTGAGATGGGGTGACCAGAACTACATAGAGTATTTGAGTATGGGCATACCATCAGTTTATGTAGTGATTGACATTTTCAATCTTATTATCTATTCCTTTCCTAATGGTTCTTAACGTTCTGTAAGCTTTTTGACTCCCATTGCACATTGAGTGGATGTTTTCAGAGAACTTTCCACAATGATTCCATTACTATGCACTTATCAACATTAATGTTCATCTGCCATTTTGTTGCCTAGTCCCCCAGGGCAGTGAGATCCCTCTGCAATTCTTCAGTCATCTTTGGACTTAACTATATTGAGTAATTTTGTATTGTCTTCAAATTTTGCCACGTCATTGTTCACCCCCTTTTGCAGATCATTTATCAACAGCACAGATCCCAGTACAGATGCCTGGGGGACCCCCCTATTTACCTCTCTCCATTGTGAAAACAAACCATTCTTGTCCTATCTTCAGTGGACATGGAGAATAATAGAACACCGTTCTCTTGATAACACCTCTTTAACATTATTTGAAGACTGCTATCAGATCCCCCATTGGTCTTCTTTTCTCAAGACTAAAGATGTCCAGTTTTTTAACCTTTCCTCATAGGTCAGGTTTTCTAAATCTTTTATCATTTTTGTAGCTCTTCTCTGGACTCTCTCCAATTTGTTCACTACTTTCCTAAAGTGTGGTGCCCTTAACTAGACACAGCACTCCAGCCTGACGAGTGCTGAGTACAATTGCCTCCCATGTCTTACGACACTCCTGTTAATATACCCCAGATCATTAACTTTTTTTGCAACTGCATCACACTTTTTATTCACATTCAATTTGTGATCCGCTAGAACCCCCAGCTCTGTTTCAGGAGTACTACCACCTAGTCAGTTATTCCCCATTTTGTAACCGGGTATTTGATTTTTCCTTCCCAAGCGTAGTACTTTGCATTTGACTTTGCATTTTGTGTTTATTTTGCATACATTATGAAAGAGATCATTACTGGAAGTATTTAATTGCTGTCCTCTATTTCCCAGCTAGTAAAGCCGTGGGATTCCTTGAAATTAAATGGAACTGAAACACAGTATATGCCTCAAGCCAGGAAAAAAAGACCAGACATGGCTGCTAATACACGGATCCTCTATGACATAGTTGTCTGACTTAGCCTGTGGTGAGAACCAAATTAATTTTTTAATTATGATCTGTGGGATGGATTTAGGAACCCAGTATCATCTAGTCTCCTTCATGCACAGTAGCTCTTCCACTTGTTACAATGGGAGATTGGTAGAATGTGCATGGCAACTTAAAAACATAGTAACTTATAGGACTCCGTCCTGCAAGCTGTTGTGCTTGGCTTTAGTGGAGCTCCACATTGGCACAGGTGTGCCTTCCCATGTTGAGCAATTTGCGAGATCGGGTCCTTAGCAAGTAACTGTTACATTCAGCATCTATCTGGGAGGAACAATTTTAGGCGCACAACTATTTATGCCCTTTGTTTATTTGGCCATTTCTGCATACATTTACCTGCTTTGCACAAACATTTGCAATAGTATCACATGTTAGGCACACAGCCTATACCTACCAAGGTATATGGTGCAATTCACATCTTTGTAGAGCTATCATTTCAGGCTGCCAGCAGGCTCAGGAAAATGTTCTGTTGGTTTATGCCTCTTCATGTTAGGGATGTTTACTCAACCAAAATAGCTATAAACTTACCTGGTTAATTTTTTTAAAGGGAAGTTGCATTGTATAGAAAGTTAACCTGTCATGGAAGCCAGAAAATGATCTCAGGTGGGTTGGATATGGTCAGTTGTATGTCTCTACTTCTCCACAAAAACAGAGGCTACTTCTCATACAAAGTTCTTTTCTCAAGTTCTCATCCCTCAGGTTAAAAGTACCCTTAGCTCTTACAGATAGTGCCAATGGTGCTTTCCTTTTCTTTCTAAAATAAGCTCAATGTATAATTTTGCTAAACCTTATTACAGCCTTTTAAAGAACATATTCCCATTTTTGTATTTCTCCTCTTACGATGTTGCTCCTGATTTTTATATCAGAAGATTTAAATGTAATCCATTTCTGTTAAATGAGTCTCCATGATTAAACTCTCAGGGCCCAGTACTGCTCTTACTCATGTCACTGAGTGTTCTCCCTTTGACCTCAGTGGGAGCAAGATCAGGCTACTAACAGCCTGCTTGCCAACGTTTTAAAGATATAGTAAGCACCAATGGGGAGAAAATTGGTGCACGCCTTTAAAGAATATTGAAATGAATTAGAGTAACAGAACATTTTAGAGTGATAGAGAGGGGAAAATGTCAAGGGTTTTGCTTAAATAAAAATTCCTTCCAATAGGAGTATTTGTCATGCATATGAAATCAAATATAGTACAGTTTCACCCTTCTAAAATGTAAACGTAATTGTTCTGTCATAGTCACAAAATAGCATCATATGTCAATTAACGCTGGGAACACGATGATTTTTTGATAGGGAAATACTGTGGCTTGTACATATTCTTTTTGTGATTTCTCTGACTGGTCTTTAGATCAGATCTTTAAAACAAACATTTTTCCATGCTACAGTATATAACGATGTGCAGAGTACAATTTTGGTATGTTGCACTTGTGCTTGGAGGCTGGCAGTTCTTTTCCTGAACCACAGGGTTCAAGTATTAAGGCTGATCTTAAGTTCAGTTATTGAATCTGTGCATAAGAAGTAGAAGGTTATGGATATCGTATATAGTTACACTTTCATTTGAAATTTACATTTTTACAAAAGTATCAGGTGACTCTTTTCATGTTGTGTTGTAAGGATTTGTGGTGCGTTTTTTTGACACAAGGTGAAATAATTGGCTGTTCTGAGGAGGTGGATATAAACGAAGACCGCATTTTTAGGGTCAGGAATTCACGTACACTACTAAATGTAGTTACGTCAGAGCCATTTCCATAAGGTGACTGAGTCTAGCTTATGTCAGCAGGCAGACTACATCTGTTGTTCTATAGCTGGCATTTTCTCAGGCTGCCAGAAAGCATCTGCATCAGTGGGTATGTTCCATGCATTAGAGAGAGCCGGGAGAGCAAGAGCTGCAGGACCTTTACTCTTTACAGCCAATCAGAAAGGATGGTTAATTCCTATCACTAGCAGAGCGTTTCTCTGCAGCTTTCCTCCAGCCCTCACTTCTCTGTATTCTTGTAATAAACTAGCAGGAGTAGGCATGATCTAGTCTTATACATAAAGCCTGTGGTTAGAAACAAGGTTTGGTAGTGCTGAAGTAATGGACTGAGTAGCTCAGCTTGGACAGCTGCAGAGCAGAGACCTGCATGGAACTCCTGACCATCCGGGAAACCAGCACATAGGTACTTTGCGTATCTTGAGGGGATGTTTATTGTAGAAGTCAGTTGCTTTTGATTTTAACTAAAGCTTGCAATTTATTTATAAGCTTTTGTGGAATTGGAACAAAAATGTTTTGAAGTTGGTGAAAAACAGTGGGGGTAAAAAAACTATTGACTTGCTATTGACAGGGAAGTAGGAATAATTGTAAGGAGAAAAGTATTTTGTTTTTATAACCATTGGCTATTTCCATTGGCATTCGATGTGATGGGGATAATCAGGCTGGGGAGGATATTTGCTCATGGTTGCAGGACAGGCTTTCTGTATACAGAGTCCAAGTACTTTTGTGAAAGGGTTCAGCTACAACTGTCTTTTGTTTTGCATGCTTTGAGGTTGAATGTGTGATGCAACAAGTTAGAAATCAATCCAACTGTGATGTTTCATCTTGGGGAATATGTCTGTGAATGGCATGTCAAGGGTTTTCTATATTATCCCTCCTCCTTCATGTTAAACAGTAAGAAATGTAGCTATTTATAGATTTTTGCCTATAGTTACAAAATGTGGTTCATCAGTTAGTTCATTGAGATGGAGGGGAAATATTTCTGGAAATGTTTATTACATAAATTAGATTTGATTTCTGTATCTGTTTTTAATAATGGAATATGATGCATTCAATAACCAGCTGAGCAGTGCTTCAATGTCTAAGCTGGTTTGCTCTAAAGTAATGGTGAAATTGGAGAGAGAGTATGTTCAACCTGATTCCCATCATCTACATGCAAGTTTGTAAAATTTTTTGAGATGCTACCACCCTACCATTGATTTGATTTCAGTGGTGGAAATGAAATAAGCACACTTGATTGCTATTATATATTTTCCACATGCAAGGATCATTTATAGTGAACATGGTATTGATTATTGATTATTTTTGTGAGCATTCAGGACATTTGAGAGTGTTTTAGTTACACTGTATTCTGACTGCCTTTGGAGTTAGAGCTTTTCACATGTCATATAGGGACAGTTTGGAGAAGGGAATTATCTTTTAATAAGCTGATGGGCAATGGCTAAGGAATCATGCAGAGCATAATACATGTTATCTGCCTGTGCAGTAAAATACTTTGACATCTCTGTCTGTGGTTCATTTTGTTTCATAGATGTCTGTTTTTTTAACTTTGTGGATTTTACTACTCAGTTGTCATTAAGTATTTTCATTCTTGAAAATAATTGTTTATCAATGAGAAATTATATTATTATGCTGAGTGCATTTCTGTAGCTAAAAACTGTCTTTGTTCTGGCAGTAGCATAAAGGAAAGTGATCTGTACAGTAGCAGAGCCTGCAAGTGACTGATTCTGTTGCAAGCAAGGCGATGATTTAATTTTTTTTTAAAAATCTGTGACTAGTTTTGTTTGGTCTTTTATTCAGTGGCCTCTTGTCGCTTTTACAGGGGGCATCGTTGATAAGGACCTTCGTCACTACCTCAATTTACGGTTCCAGAAAGGTTCGGTGGACCACGAGCTCCAACAGATCATACGAGACAATCTCTACCTCCGCACAGTGCCATGTGAGTATGGGGAAGATCATATGCTCTTTTTCTGGAGGAGGTGACCAGTTACCAGAATGAATGTAGATGCAAGTTAAAAATCACAAAAGCATCAAAATATTAAGGGGTGGGGGGATTTTTTTGGATAGAGCAGCTTCTTTCTGATTTGTGGCTTGGTGTGAACCGAATTATTGTTTAGAGATTACTCAAAATAATTCAGAGGCAATTTCTAGTGTTGCTAGTTGTGTTGGAGGCTGCAGCTATGGCAAAGAGGGTATTTCCAAGTACAGTGGCTTCTTCTGTAGTTGGTCTGGTTCTAAAAAATTAAAATAAAAAATGGTTTGACCACTTTGCAGGACAGTTAAGCTGGTGTCTGATAGTTGGAATTTTATCTGCACCATATAGAATTCATATGGGTTTTATCGTTTATGTATTATATTGGAAGAGATGGAAATATAATAGGAGGAGGAAGAAGGAAATATACAAATTAAGAGACAACATAGTTTAGCTGCAGCAAGTATGGTCTCAAGTGTTTAACATGTCTAGCGGCTGCATGAAGTTTTTGGTGGAATACAAGTCAACTATATTTAGATCTTGACAGATCTTTTTTGGTCATATTTTTAGTAGTGAACCAATTAACATATTTGTATACTAGCCATACAAAGAGTAGTAATATAAGAAATGCCAGATTAGCAGCACCAAGTGTTTCAGAATAGAGTTGTTTGGTGACTGACAATATGTCTGTCAAAACTGATACCTCTGGCATAGTGTAACAGCTTGATAAATGTGATCCAAATCCCAAACTGCTGCATTTAAATCAGAAAGTGCGGAGTGTGCACGCTTGAACTTGCAGGTGTGATGGGCCGAGGAAGATAGATTAAAGTAAGTGACTGTACTATTTACACGGTAACGGGTGAATGCACTTTGAAAGCTGTGATGTTGTCAGTGTTCCTATCTGAGTTTTATCTTTCATGATATAAAAGAAAGGAGATATGAAGCACTAAAAAAAGAGGCACAATCATGTTTCTATTTTTTGAAGCTGAAAGTAAATAAATATAATATCTTACTTTCAGGTGTACGGCCTGTCCCTGGTAGGACTAAAGGATGTTTATATATTATCTAGATGATCAGAAACATTATTTTTGTGTGAGAGTTGTGATTAACTGGGTTTGCTTTAAATGCAGTGTGAAGAAGAATAGTGGATCCAAGGAGAGGTGAAAATGCAAAGATGTTTTGAGACCAGGGCCTAGCACAATATGGTATTGTTAGAAGTTATCTAGACATAGGGGTATATCGAGTGCCATTGACACAGTAGGGTTGGGTATTTATAACACCCCTCTTCAATTTAGAGTATCAACCAAAATGGATGGATTGCCACTGATATTTTACTTCTGGAGATATGGATTTTAAAAGACAGTGTGCCCAGTGTGAAAACATATCAGTCCCTGCTACCTGGCATCCTATGGTTAGGTTAGATGAGGGGAGAACATCTGAGTAGCAGGAGTTTCAGTAGTCAGCCATTTCTCATGTAGTGAGTAATTTAGACTTAGAGCTATATCATGTGCTCGATCCACACATGCAAACTCCAGTGACGTCAGTGAAAGCTATGTATGTGCACTGAGGGCATGATATGACCTGAAGATTTGTCTAAATCAAGAAATTAACTAGGCCAGTAAAATACTACATTGCATACTATAGTATATACAAGGAGGTATGTTACCAAGCAGGAGCAAATGTATCAGTGAAAAAAAGATAGGTGCGGTAGGACCATGCAGAAGGATAGTACACTCACTTACAGGTTGGCTTCCAGAGTAGATAGAATTTGAATTGAATTGAAATGAACTAGAGGTAAAAGGGTAAAGAAAAATCACGAGAAACTGTTATAGCCCCACTTGGATAGGATAAGAAAGCTGACCAGGAAATATTTATACTGATAAGAGAGCCTGAAAAATCCAAGTACATCAATCAGAAGAGATTTCAATTACTTTGATAGTGACATGGATGACAATTGTTGAATTACTAAGTAACCAGGCATGTTCTTGGAGAGAGTGTAAACCATTTTCCTACTCCATTTGCAGGTGGTAGGAAAAAAAAACAACCATGGTCTGGTAATCATGACATCTTGTTCAAAATGTTCTTAAAACTGTTGGAAAGATAGCATCTCCAAAATATGGGAATTTTAAAATGAAACAATTAAGAGAATACACAGTGAGTTTACCTTTGATTTTTGTTTAAAAGTTTACTTACACCCAAATAATAAATATTTAAAAGGACATCATCATGTACAATAGGCCCCACTTTGTCCATTTGTTTCTTAAAACTGTCAGAATTTAGGAGACTACAATATATCTTATGTGTGGGTTTATTCTGCTTCCAGTGTTCATGTGTAAGTCCAGTCAATATTAACAACATATACACCTGCACATTTAGAGAAGAATGCACTAAACTATTTTCTGTTTTTAATATACCTTATTAACTTATTTTTTAAAAATTATCAGGGGCCTGGTTTTTCAGGGAGGCTGAGCAGTGAAAGCTCTCATTGACTTAAATTTGTGCTTCAGGCAGTCAGCACTTCTGAAACTTTATTAGAAGGTAAAAGTCCTGGTTGACAATACAAAATGATTTCTTTTATAAACAGTAAAGAGACGATTTCACAGGTATATAGCAAGATTATCAAATAAACGATTCCATTGCCAGTAGATCTAAGAAAGACGATAAATATAGCTCATGCATGTGCTTCCCACAAATCCTGCCACATAGCAGTAGCCAGGGGTGAAAGTAATATGAAACACTTACTGGTACGGGGGCCCGGCTCCAGGACTCCAGAAAGGGTGGGGCCTTGGGCGGAAGGGGCGGGGCTTGGGGTGTCAGCCTCCCCCAGCCAGCCCATCCGCGCTGCCCGGCCTGCGCCGCCCAGGGCTCTGGCAGCAATTTAAATCGCCGGCCCCGGGGCAGCTGCCCCTTTTGCCCCACCCCCCGTCTGCCACAGCAGCACTTTAAGGAAGGTCCTTTGCCACGGCAGCGCTTTAAGGAGAATTACACCCCCACTGTCATCACAGCAAAAGATCTGTAAACTGAGGGTCAAATTAAAAGACGCAGGCACACAGTTGTTGTTGGAGTGTATCGGAGCTTTGTGCACAACAAAAAACAGCGGGTCAGATTCTCAGCTGTTATAAATCAGAGTAGGCCTTCAGAAGTCAATGGAGTTTAGCAAACTTTTACCAGCTGTGAATTTGGCCCACTGAATTATATTTTCCCTTTTGTGGGCAAAGAGACTGAACAGGCAAAAATAGATAAAGATATGCAAAAATAAAGAGTGGGGGTCAAATTCCCTGCTCATAATCCAATAGGTTTTGTGGGTGTGACTAAGGTCAGAATTTGGACTCTTGGGGCTTATTTTCCTTGCATTTTTTCATGTGTTTGGCCTTGCAATGCTGTTTTCATCAAAGGGGAACTGTCCATATGACCCAATGGCCCAAATGCTGCTTTCAGTACGTGTGTCGCAGTAGTCATAGACATATGAAATAGATTTTTAGTACATTGTCGATGGAAATTACATGCACATATCAAATGGCAGAATTTGGGACTATATTTGCAAGGCTTTTGCAGTGAAGTAGCAGTTAACTAACTTTATCCCCAGAGCTGTGCTGACAGCATTAATGATGCTGATGCACAAACAAGGAAATGAAGAAAAAGGCATGTTAATTTGAAGCTGCATAAGAAAAGAGATAAAAGTAGCAAGGGACACAATCAACATGTTGATGCTTTTAAATGCTTCAGCTATTACCAACAATGGAGAGCAAAACAAAGTCTATTTAAAACAGAGTTGGCCCTTTGAGCAGCCTGAGGGACACTGCTATATCCGTCACAACAATGCAAAGGTTCTTCCCGAAGACCAACAGACAGTGAACTCTCTGCATAGATTACCCACAGCTGTACAGATGAAGCAGGGCTCTGGACAATCAGACACTCGAAGGAAAGCTGGGAACTTTATAAAAAAGGTAGTTGGAGGGGATAGGAGCCTGTAGGAGCACTGATCTCAATGTCCAGTTGTTAGTAGTTGAACTGTCCTTTTCTTGTTTGTTTTTTCATTATGGACAGTTCACCCTTAGGGCTGGTCCACACTAACCCCCCAGTTGGAACTAAGATACACAAGTTCAGCTACGTGAATAATGTTATGCTGCACAATAGCCTCATGAATAGGTGTGTGGTGAGATATGGCTGTTACTAAACCATAGAAAAGTTATAGCAAGCATTCGCCTGCTGTAACTGTCCTGGTGCTAGCTGGGATGGAGGAGGGGCCATAGACTCTTCTGAGGCCATAAGTGCTAGGGGTAGCATTTGTCATGCTGTATCTTGTGCTACATAGTGCTTGTAGCCACATTGCAGATGCCTCGTGCACAGAGTGTGAGAGAGGAAGTGGCTGTCCATTCTTCCTTATTCTTCATGCAGAGATAGCCCTATCTGAGACCTAACTAGCAAGGATAAAGTGTTGTGGAGAACACTGGCTTAGAGGAAAGTCTTTTGGCGGTGTTGATGGTAAGCACCTAGTCAGTCCCATTGAGAACATATCGGAGGGGAGGTCTTTTGAAAACGTGGTACTGTGTATACTTTAGCATCATGGGACAATAATGCCTGATTAGACTCTGTGGGTACTAGTAAAATGCACATAATTCATAACAACAATAATAATACATTTATTGTTATTTATGATTTGTGATTAATAATAAGAGCATATGAAAGTGAAAGGATAGCTCATACTGGAGATAGGACTATCTCAGTCACCTACCAAAGCTAACATCTGGATGGAGGCTGGTTTTATTTTTGAGATAGGAAAGGAAGGGTGATCTAAGAATTATAATTAATAAGTAGCAGTTGATTTTCATCCCTCTGTGAAAACAACAAGGAAGAAGATTAATCTGACCAAGGGATTATGTGCATGTGCAGACATCACACTGCATGATGCTGGTAGAAATGGTAGAATATTTGGGATTTATAATCAGTATGGTCTAAAAATATAC